GTGTACGCATGCAAAGTGGATTCCTTTGGGCTTTTGCACCTTAGAGGGTTGAGCCTGACTTTTGGGCCTCATAGCCCACTGTAAAGCATAATTTTGGACCCGAGAATTTAGAATTATAAGCGTTGGGCCCTTGGGCCATATTGGGCCATTTGGGATTATTTTGTTTGGGGCTAAAGACTTATTAGAAATTGTGAAAAGTCGCATTTGAAGGGTTGGGCTTAATTTGGAAAAATTAGGCCATTAGTGGAACTTTAGGGAGTCTTGGGGGCCATGGGTGAGTTGGATTTAATGCGCTAGAGTGGGGTCTTATGAATGTTCTCAAATTGGACTAATTTACCCCAAGTAATGTTAATATGTTATAGATTATGATTTAGTGTTAATATGACCATGATAGTCGGGACTCATCGTAGCAACTGTTAGAGACTACTTTCCACGAGATTAGATATGCAGTATCACGAGGTGAGTTACCTTTTAGTAGCAGTGGGTCTACGGCCACAATGCCGACCCACTAGTAAGAGTGTATGTTAGACAACTATCTTTGTGATAATTTTATGTGTTTGCTAATACTTGATATGTTTGTGTTAGCATGTTATGATGTTATATGATTGTAGCAGTAGGGGGAGATAGTCCCCAAGTTACCGACCGATATGGACGAAGGGGATAGTTTAGTACCCAACCATGCTAGACAGAGTATGATTATATGATAATATGTAATAGTAGTAAGAGGGGGAGATAATCTCCCAAGACCGGTCGAGAGGACCGAAGGGGTAGGCCAACACCCATATATGCTAGGCAAGGTCACTGGTCGAGAGGGCCGAAGGGTTAGGCTAGGCACCCAGATATGCCTAGCAGTATGTATATTATATGATTGTATGGCATGTGGTATGATGGGGGAACTAACTAAGCTTCGTGCTTATAGTTTTCAGTTTATTTTCAGGTACCTTCTCAACGAAGGGGAAAGAGCCGGCGCGGTAGTGACACATTACACACACATGATTCCACACTATGAGATTTCTTGGGATTGTACTCTGACATTGCTACTATTTTTATAATATGACCTTAAGACATGAGATTACGGTTTTATGAAATGATGTGACTTAATGATGTTTCTTATAAATGTTTTCTAAATTGTTATATAAAAAAAATGAATTTTTTGGTCCTGAAATTTGGGATGTTACAAGAGTGCTCATGAAATAGAATATGAGTATTAAATTAAACCTATGCTCATTTGAATCACTTCATGAAATTTATCATGAGAGATTGTGAGACGATAATATCGTATAATCTTTAAACCGAGATATATGAGTTGTTGTGTACGAGTTGATTGTACATTGATAATATGTAAACGCATCAGTAACTTGATGTTATAAAACGTATTGTCGTGCGCAATTTGATGAGTAAATAGTACAAGTATATAAGTCAAAGTTTATCTGTTCATTTTTACCTAACGGGAAAAGCGATATCTTGGGCCCCTTAATGATTTTGTGTTGACTTATGTATCGGGCCCGGTCAGGACTGAATTGATGTGTTCAATTAAGTTCCTTGTCAAATAAATCAGAAACCGGGAAACAAACTGTTGGACATTGAGAATAATTATGTTCCATGTTTCTGTCCATATAATATCTTGTAGAACGGAGGATTATATGATCCCTTATCTAAAAGACGCGTTATTTACTAGGTCAGAGTTCGACAATGGCATTTGAAAGCTACGGTTGCTAATTGGATTTTGAAATCATAGTTGCAGTTATAGTTATTAGACTTATCCAAGTGGGAGACTGTTGGATTAGGTGTCTAAGCCCATAACTATAATTGGTATGTACTTGATCTGATAGTAACATGGTCCTTTTGGGTTGCCTTCACCATAGCAACGGATATAATGGGATTTTGAGAAAGTGGTTAATAAATGGTTTATTAATATATTATAAGAATAATATATTAATTTGTAATCATATTATTTAAATAGTATTAATAAGAAATTAATTTGGAATTAATTTAGTGGTTAAAGGAACTGATTAAAAGAACGGGTACTGATTATGTAAATAAGTGATAGTTGTAGTTTTGGGCTATTGGACTTTACTGATGGGGAGTGGGCGAAAATCTATGGCAAGCCCCATAGAGTTTTCGTCCAAGGCCTTTCATTTGGGGGTCCAAGAATTGCTTAGGGCCTAAGCAAGGAAATTAGGGTTTCCAGTTGAAAACATTAGCAACCTTAACTATAAAATGAACTCCTAGCCTCAAGAAATCGGCCTGCCTACCTTCTAAGAGAAACCCTAGCAGATTTCCACCTCCTTCTCCCTCATTCTTTGCTTGTGGTGCTTGTGACTCCATTAGAGGTGCAACACTTGGGACACTAGGCTTTCGAAGGTCAAAAAATTGAAGAAGGATTACGTGTTATTATAATATATAAAGAAAGGTGAGATCTAAACCCTATTAGTTTTGTTTTATATATACTAGAATTAGGGTTATTGCTTTGGAAATCTTATTTGCATGTATAACATGAGAAAAACCTCGATCCAAAGCAATTAGGGTTGCATGTGCACATAGGAATGTTGTAATGCTCATAAGCCATCAGAATTATCTAAGCCTTTTATCAAGTGAGAAGTTTTCGGCAACAATGAAAGGCTAGTGATTCTGTTTCCTAGTGGAAACAATATGATAATAAAGGGGTTGGAAGAGTTATGATCAGTTTGGAATAAAAAGTGGAGTTGTATTGACAATGATTCATAGTGGGCTGTCTGTTAAGGAGGCAGACAGGGTTTTAGGATTTCGGATTTCAGACAGTAGTAATGGTTATTCTTTAGGGGTGAACACTAGTGAAGTAAGGATTCGTTCATCGTTAGGATTTGAGTGCCATGCTAAGGATGGGTTTGGTTATAGTTTTGGAATGTTGTATGCTTGAGTTGTTTTCTCAATCCATATCGAGATTTTGGAAGAAGTGTCCAAGCTGTCTAGCACTTCTGGAAGGTAGTAAGGAGTGATTTTGAGGACAAAATCTAATTTAAGTGGGGGAGAGTTGTAACACCCATTTTCCTGAAAGAATCGAATCAGGGTTTCAAGGAGTCAAAGGCATGGTTTTTGGGTAAAACTAAGGCTCACAATGTGAGTCATAGAAGGGTCACGATGTGAGGAGCGATTAAATGAAGAAATTGTATATATTCTGAGCTCACGGCATGAGCAATAAGAGCTCACGATATGAGGGTTGCTGCAGCCCAAGCCCCAAAACATTTAGGGTTTCCCCACATATTTAAGCCTCCTTAACATGGGTTTAGGGTTCATTTCTCAGCCTCCACCTCTCTCCAACTAAAAAAACCTAACCCTCACCCCTCTTGTTGGTTTTGGATCCATATTGGTGTCTTAGTGGCTAGAAGAAGAAGATGATGATGTTCTAGAGTGTTGGTCTAGCAAGGAGGCTTCATCATCATCATCATCATATTGTGCACATTCTATACCTTTATAAGTGTCCAAGATTCAGCTTTTATGAGTTTAAGTTACTAGATCTAGGTTCTTGTCCCTTTTCCTTCATGATTGTGGAAGTTTGCATGGATGAGATCCATAAAGTTGGCAACTTTATGGCCTCTAAGTGTCCCTTAAGCTCATATCTAATGGATCTGAAGTTTAGGTGTGATTTATGAATCTTGCATGAGTTTCATGTCATTTCTTGTCATTTTGATCTAAGGTGATTTTAGGACATACATAGGGCATGCATTTCCATTAAGTTATCATTTTTATTGACCTTTGAAGTCCCTTTTAGCTTCTAAAAAAGTTGGGGTCGAAGACTTACTGGAATAAGGACTCAAAACTTTAGGATATGGTATCAAACTATGCTCACGACGTGACACAGGGAGTGTTATGATGTGAGAATGTTTTTTTCCGGCAGAAACTTGATCATTTGAAGCTCGCGGCGTGACCAAGGAAGGCTCACGTCATGAGGACTGCTTTTGAGTCGTTTTGCCCGAGTTGCTGAGTGGTGTGAGTTCGAGCTAGAATCTGTCTGAGTGTATTCTCACAACGTGACCAAGTACTGGTCACGACCTGAGGGTCAACTGTTGGTATGTTGACTGTTGACTTTCGACTTGGTTTGACTTTTGAGCCAAAATTCTATTTTTAGAAGGTAGACTTAGGGTTTACCTTGTGTGGATTGATAGGAGGTGCCGACCACCCGTCTTTTTGCAGTAGAGTAGCTAGCTAAAGTTAGCTTTATGATTCAGGTGAGTCTCTTTACTATACTCGTGGGTCGAAGGCACCAATGTTGGCCCGCTGGATTATATTGCAGGATTATAGTTGTCTTTGTGACACTTGCTGATATGTCTGTATGTACTCGATTGCCTTTGTGACTTTTGATGATATGACTGTATGTTTTATGTATGTGGGGGTTGATACGGACCCGACATAGCTACTTGCGGTCATATGGGTTGATATGGACCTAACACAGCTACATGCTGTCATATGTGATTGATACGGACCCGACATAACCACTTGCTATCATATATATATATATATATATATATATATATATATATATATATATATATGTGTGTGTGTGTGTGTGTGTGTGTGTGTGTGTGTGTGTGTGTGTGTGTGTGTGTGGGCGCGCGCGCGCATGATATGTGATATTTTGAGAACTCATTAAGCTCCGTGCTTACGGTTTATTATTTATAATTTCGGGTACTTTCGATATAAATAGAAGGATTTGACGTGACTACACCGCATTCACCCATGTTTCCTCACTTTATTGATTTTGAGATTGTACTTTAATATCTTTATATACTTTTGAATGATTGATAATAGGAAATTGTATTTATGATTGAATCAAAAATAAATTTTTTACCTTACAAATTTTAGAATGTTACAAAATTTGTAATTAACTTTCTCAAACAGTGATCACAATTAATTCCATGAGATATTCAAGTGTTTTTGCTCAGGATCTAGGATAAATTTCTGACTTGTTTGTGTATATAACAATTAACAACAATTAACAGTACTAGCTTTCATTCACCATGGTTTTTAATAAAATTTTCCGTTTAGAATTATATGAATTTATTCCTATTTATGTTGAGCTAAACATTTAATATAAAAAATCATCATTTACCACATGTACGGACATGTGGTTTGATTTACCATTTAAAAAATTTCTTTTCAGAAGATCCATGCAATAAGTAAACCCTAATACATATACATACAAAACATGAATAATTACTTAATTAGGGACACGAAAATATAATGGTATAGGATTATGTGATTCTGGTGCAGCATCCCAAACAGAAAAAGCACTCGTTGAGTTCATCCAACGATCGGTCATTCCCAGATAGTGGCGATCCAACACATCTTTCAAACTCTCGGTTGTGTTCACCCATTCAAAACCTTTTTTCGTGTACACATCTTCGTTAAAGTCACTTGTGAAAAATCTATCTGCCTCGAGTCTCCTACAATTGGTGCACAAGTAAATTAAAGAATCAATTAGTATGTTCATATATATGGTTTGTTTGTTTTTAGTTTTTATATTTTCCATGTGTTTGAGTTAAATATACCTTGATGCCATGATTAAGAAAATTATAAACGCAGTCTCACTGATGGCAAACCCTTTGATCTTTTTCTCCGCCGCCATTCCTACCAAAAGGTCGAGTTGCTCCACATCATCACCATACACGTCATGCAATGTGTCAATAGCTTCTATATCGTCCGTTAGATCATCCCATTTTGAGATCGGGATCAAGAGTAGTGATCTACGGAAGTCATTGTATCTTGCTACATTCCTTTCCCTATCCCTATAAACTGTATTATCATGCATGTGTTAGGACCAAAACCGTTATTCCAACTGTAATTGGTTTTATATAAATTTTCAATATGCTAGACTTGGTATGAATAATATTAAAATTAAAAACCATAATATTATGTGAAAGAAAGATGATACTTACTATCGAGTGATGCTAAGTCGATATGATCTGGGCGATCTGTGCCATCAACGTTTTGAGGTACAATGTTCCTCAACCACACCGGATAATTCCATAACTCAAGTGCCCCGCATGCTTGATGCCCCATTGATACCATTTGTGTTGTAAATCCAATATCTAACAATTCCTTTTCCCCACTCTTTCCAATCAAATTTATCATATCAATCCTGTAAAAATTATTCTAATTATTCCGAAAATCCATTAAAAATAACTTTTTGAAGGAGAAAATTGATCTAGCAAATAATTTTTATCATTACATAATGAGATATGCATGAGTTTTAAAAATCATAGAGATAGACTTGCGTTTAAATTAAAGTGTCTTACGTTTTGCTCAATTTTGGAGACTTATTAGGCCCTGGCTTTGAATTGACATCCCTGATGAAGAGTTGATCAGGTAAGAGAGAATGCATTCTGTAAACACTCGTAAATTCTTCTGTTAGTGAGTAAGGTACACCATGATTAACGGGTTCCTTTAACCCTACAAGACCTCCCAAAATGGCTCCTCCAACATGCCCAAATGTGTCCTTGAATCTTTTTCCTAATAGCCCATACCTGAAATTGAATATTTTCAAGAGAATTTCACGTTACATTTTAACAAAAGTAACACCGAAAACCATTATAGCTAAAAAAAACACAGGTTTATTACCAGTTAGCTCTCATTCCGGCGACAAGTGTGTCGGTTTTGAGAAGCTCAATCGTCCAATCAATGGTGTGTATCTTTGCAATAACTGCCGAAGTTACTAGTCTTGCGTGACGATACAGATCTTCATCTTCCAAATAAGGATATTCTTTCTGATTACCATAAATATATATTAATGTAAGTAAGAAATATATATAGTACTAGTGAATTGCAGTTAATTAATAACAGGAATTAATATAGTGGATGTGTGAGTTAGTGTACCTTTAATGCATCACAAACGGCGTTGTGCTCGAGGATGAATAGTGCTTGCAAGGTTGATACCCCAATCCAACTGTTACGAACGTCGCCGGCGATGGGCAATCCGTCGCTGTCATGTTGCAGGAGGCCGTCTTTTTCGATCTTCAACTTTCCATCTTTGAATGTTCTCACTTGGCGCATCTTCTTCGAATTGCTTCCATATACTACACTCCCGTCCCTGTATGTATTCGATTGATAATTCACAATTTTTAATTCATGAACTAGCTATATTTTGAGTTTTAAATTATATGAACATTATACAACTATTTGGTTCAAGGTATATATATATGTACGTGAAAGAGAACGAATAGAATAAAGCGTCGCTAAAAATCATACCACCATGGAGTTCTGATGTTACGATGACCTTTCTTAATGTCGGACAAACCAGTATCAACTTCTTTAGTCTTGTAAAATTTGAAGGATGTAAGAGGACATTCATTCGCAGATTCCACGGGTGCCTTGAGTTCAATCTGCAGACGATGCAAAAGCATGATCAGGTTCTAATACTCATGCCTCATGTATTGTGCATTAGAGTTTAATTATGGGTTTACATGCAATATATATTATTGCATAAATGTATGTTGGTCAAACCTGTTGTGTTGACTCGAGGTGATCGATCCAATCATGAATCATGAACTGAATCCAAGAAGCAGCAATCATGTTGAACTGTTTTCCAGTGTCTTTAAGTTCTCTGCGTGCTAGAAGCTTTGTTGCCACCACCATAGGATCTGGCTTCAATAGCTGCACAATATTAACTAGAGCTTAATTAAATGTCTTCATCTCACATTTTATCTCATTCATAAAACTTCTGTTATTGCTTTTGAAAAACTTCGTAACCTAAAGTTATCTAAACAAAGTCAATCTAGGAAATCCATCTTTTTCAAATCTACTATAATGGTGTGATTCTCCTTTAGTATTTTGTAATCATTTTAGGAAGAATACCAAAACTTAACTCGGCTATATATATTTTGTACTTTTTTTTATGCCTCTCCTTTTGGGAGTGGATTTTAATTTAATTCCAGTCGTTAAAAAAATGATTGCTCGTGTAATCATCACTTAAATTACTGAATTAATTAATAACTTGAAAAAAAAGTAATTTAACCAAATAAAAAACTCCCATAGTGATCAAATACATCATTGTATATGTGACAGGATTGTTCCAACTTTTCCATTACTTATATATCGCATTCGCAGTACGTAACTGCGTAAAAAGGTTTTATTAATAAATATTAAAAGTTGTAGATATATTGACCCCACGTCCCTACATGGCGTGTTGATTTATATTTAATTCTTTAATGCGTAAAGTTGAAGTAGTAGTTCGAATGATTACTATCCACTGATAGAGTACAAATGATTCAGGGATACGCTAGAATTGAATCTTCGTGGACCATGCTTCTTATAATAATCTTGTACGTATTGTATATTTATTTAACACTTGTATTAAATTTTTAAACAATCTACACATGTCTTTATCATTTTCAACTTGATATATATATATATATATATATATATATATATATATATATATATATATATATATATATATATATATATATATATATATATATATATATATATATATATATATATATATACTATAAAAAAGATTATGTTTTTAATTTTTCTTCTTAAAACACCCCAATATATATATGATCTATAAAATTAATATATCAAATTATATCGATCTATTAAATGATGCACATGCATAGAAGTAAAACTTCATGAAATTATTTTGATCGAACAAGACTTATTCATGTGTAATTTTTCAACATACCTTATCTTTCTGATCAGCGGAAGTCATGTTCCGGCCAAAGAAAGACCCTTGACTTCCGGCATCTTCCTTTAATGGATCATTGAACTTTCCGTTGGAAGACCTGAAAGCAAAGTCACTGGGATTGAATCGAGACCCCACAGGAGTTTTCCCCACGTTGATCAAGTTGTACTCCTCATGAAGACGCCGGCGTATAGCCAAGTAGATTAGCCCCAAGAACACCGGCAAACGGTGCCACCCTATCCCTGACTTATCAACACTATGAATTAACTGCACAGAAAATAAATTAAACCCTTCAGAATTAATACAGCACTATTCTCTTGAAGTGATTAAGGATCTAGAATTCTAGATAACAACATGCATGCAGAATTTCAGATACCTACCAGAAAGAGAAACTTGTTGACGAGTGTCATTGTTTGAAAGATTTGGTGAAAGTCGGGATGGATGAAGTGTTCCATAGGCGAAATGAGAAGAGATTTCGCAGAAGACATAAGTGAAATCATATTGGTTGATTAGAGTGTTTGAGCTGTTAGGTTGGTATACAAACACGAATGAATATGTACTACATATACTTAGTATTAGATAGCCGGGGAGTGGGTGAGAATGGGTTGACTTGAAATATTCAACAAAATGGAACAAGAAAATCACGAAGAATTAAGAGATTTAGTCCATATTCCATACAGGAAACTGAAACTGGTGTTCCTACTGATAACCACAACTTGCTCATTTTTGAAGTCCAGCTTGTACAAATGGGTATAAAACCACGACTGACTTGGTAAAATTTTGCAATACGTTTTCTATTTCATGGTCGATCAAGCTGACCAACAAAATAACAAGTTAATTAATCAAATAAACTATAGTTCCAATATATATATATATATATATATATATATATATATATATATATATATATATATATATATATATATATATATATATATATATATATATATATATTATTGTAATAGTTAGAAACTCACTACAAGAAATGAAGGTATTAGCGGCGATATTCACTTTTAACGGCGACAAAGTAATTTCCGCGTTACTTTTTGCTACTTATACCTTCGCTATGTCGATCAGCAATAAATGCCATCTGTGAACCTTGTCCGTTTGATTTACATCTAATCCAACGGATGAAAATGACCAGAATGCATACTATTAGCGGTGATGACAATTGTGGCGACGTCCGACGTCACTAATGCTCCGAAAAAACGCACTGACTTTTCCCTCCAGGGATGTCGCCGCTAAAACCTACTTGTTGCCACAAAAGTCCTATCGTCGCCGCTATAACACTACAAGGAAAAAGGCAATTTGCGGCGACAAAAGTCGCCGCTAAAGGGTCTCATTGTCGCTTGTAATGGTAATAGCGGCGACACGTCGCCGGTAATAAGCCGCCGCTACTGTTCCGTCGCTATTGATCAATTTGTCGTCGCTAAAGAGAATAGTCGTCGCTAATGCTTGTGTCACCGCTAAAGAGTATAGTCGTCGTTAATGATGAAGTTGCCAGTAATGATGAAGTTGCCAGTAATAACAATTTTCATTTTTTAATTTTTTTAGTTAATCAACGATTTTGGTTGTCGGTAATGGTGTCGCTGATAATAGTGTCACCAGTAATTATATAACAACATCCAATTATATATCAAAAGTAATGGTGTCGCCAGTAATTAAATAAAACAACCAAAAAGTTTTACAATTCTAATAATTAGCAAAGTGTGATAACAAGTGTAATATACAAATAAAGCTTCTCCCTACATACAATCATCTTCGTTTCCATCGTTTCTTCGATTATTTTGTGGTTGAAAAAACGAATGTAAAGCTCATTCCTATATGTCGGGTCGTTGAGTATTGCTCGAAGATTTTTTAACTACATAATAAATAACAACATATATAAACTTATAAGTTAAATTATCAAACATAAACAAAAACTATCAAAGTACATTGCTATTTTTAAATTAAGATAAAAAGTCAAAGTACATTGTTATTTCTTGCACTTGCAACAAAAACCCAATTACCAAAGTTTTTAGCAAATAATCACTACAAAACCAAAATTACCAAATCAACATGCATTTTATGATGCCAAGGTAGATTGCTATTTTTAAACTAAGACAAAAAAAACCAAAGTACATTGCTATTTTTTGCATTTGGGACAAAAACCTAATTACCAAAGCTTTTAGCAGATAATCACCACAAAAAACCAAAGTAGATTGTTTTACCTGTGATGGTTGTGATGGTTGTGGTGATGTTGCGATGGCCTTGAAATCGGCGGGAGAGCAGAAGGTTTACGGTCGATGCCTCTGATATGGTAATGTCGCTCTCCTAATACTTTCTCAAAAGCAGCTCTTTCTTGAATGGGTGTTAACTCACTTTGGCCTTGGGTTTGTTTTAAGAGCTCTTCGACTAACCGATTCTATAATTCCCAAAAATGAGTAACAATTAAGTATAAATAAACACTTAATTAGATGATAAAATTATAATTAAATACTTATATATTGTTGTTCCGTCTCGATAGTAACAAATACACCATCTCTATCGATATGAGCCTTGCGAAACGTTTCCACTCTCTTAGGGTTCTCTTTAATATTAAAAATTAGATTATATTTTAAATAAATAATTACATGTATCGTACGTTACCTTCTTATAGAAAGTATTGTTATACGAACTCGACCCCCAAGATTCACCTTCATTTGCATTTTACGAACTTTTTTGTTCCTGTCTGAAGCAATTATGTATTCGTCCATTTGGAAGTACTCAACTGCTTTCTTCCAGTTATCAGCATCCATACCCTCTGGAGGATTGGCTAATGCTCTCGGGATATCATCATACCATCCGACTGCTAAAAAAAATATTCTTTTGCGTCATTGACGGCTCCTCCGTGTTTCAATTTGTGAGTGGAGTATTTCAAGGCTACGAGTTATGCGAGAGGAAGATCAATGGTCATAGCAAGACATTATGAGATTCTATGATGATGTAACGCGGTATCCAAGTATGATGTCGTGAGTGGAAGATCAGTGGTTGAGGCAAGAGAGTGTGAGCTTCTGTGATGGTGTATCGGGGTATCCGAGTATGATGCTCTAAATCGTTGGATAATTTTGAGACTCGAGTTTATGAGATGGCAAGGGGAATATCGAGTAGCTATTGCTCCAGAGGGAAACCATCAAATAATTGTCATCATTCGGGGATGGTTTAAGAAAGTGAATTGTATCGAGAGAAGGTACGTTGTTGCGATAATTGCCGTCAGGAATGGGTGGGTGTACCTGTCCATGATGGATTGCGGAGCATGAGTTCAATGAACGCAATATAGTGACAACTTAATAATGAGATTATGGGGTGGTAAGAGCGTGACCAGGTGAGAGTAATCACTTTGTAATATCATGGAAAAACCATGGGGAGAGCCCATAGCGATTGAGAGGGTGATGTAAGACTGTGGGGAGTCGTAGCATTCACGAGTGAGTAAGTAAGTGATATAAGCCTGTGGGGAGCCATAGCATTCACGAGTGAGTGAGTAAATGATGTGAATAGTGGAGTTTTTAGGCTTCGAGTTAGATTTTGGAACAAGGGCACAAGTCTTGTGCTTCTGAAGTGACTTATGAGCAACCGAGGGTTTCGAGGGTTTGTTCTGAGATTCCTTGGGAAACGAACATAATGACATTGTTCTTTCATCAATCCAATAGTCATATTCAATTACATGAATTTTAGGAGCAGTGTGCTTCGGAACATGAGTTTCCAGAGAGGTGAGTACGTCTTACACCTTCGAAATTACAGTTTCATCAATGTGAGATTTGATTTTCCACACAAAATTTTGCTTTGAAGATTTTGAAGAGATTGTTTTCTTTATACTTTTTGGTTTGCTTGATGACACATTGGTTTTTGAAGACTTTGGTTTAAAAGTTGTGTCATCATATTTAGCAATGAAAACAAATGAAGCAATCCGAGGAGAGGTCTTTTGGACAGAAGTGGTTTCCACATGAGTTTTAGGCTTAGTGGAAATAACTAAATTCTTTGGTTCTATAGGACTGGAAGAATTTGAAGGTCTCTTGAGGATCTTAGTAAGAGTGAAGGAGTTTTGACTAGGAGTTGAGGAGTGAGAATTCTAAGATACACTCTTTTTGGAGTTCTCAAGGAACCTGGTATTTTGTCTAGACTTAACTTCCTTTTTGTGAGCATTTCGAGCTTCCACTTTGGGATCTACAATATCCTTCCTATTGAGCATTGGTTTTTTCTTGGATTGAGACGAAGATTTTGAGGTTTGTCCTGCATATGGGTTACTAAATTCAGGATCAATGGGGACTAACTTGGTTTTAGAGGTAACTAAGGATTTTGATTCATAAGAATCAGAGGAAACACAGCTGGAGGTTTCAACTTTATCATCTAAGGATGGCTATACAAATTCAGATGAAGCAGTTTCAGTTGTCACCGGAATGATTTCTTCAATAACACATTTGTTAGGAGGATTATGTATTGGAACATAATCCACACAATTTTAGACATTGTGATGAAATTCTATGGTTCGATTCAGGTCCAGGTTTTTCAGAGGTGGAAAGGCATGGAATCGGGACACTTAACAACAATTGGTTGAAACTCAGGAATTAAGGATGCAATGTGGTCTACATTCTCCTGAATGGGTGACAAGGGAGAAACAGGGGTGTCCGAATGTTTGATGTTTGGAACCTCTCCCATAAATGTCAAATTTTGCAATTCCTCCAAAGGACGAACAATTAGCTTCGAAAACTCGCTTCCGAGGCCATGTGCTTTGGACCATGGATGACGAAAGTTATGGGTCATCCGTATATTTGCTTCAAGCATGTCAATGGAATTATGCAAAGCATCTATCTTAGCATTGAGATGTTTGCTATCACAAATCAAGACATTTCTTTCATAATAAGTGATTTCACATTTGCCTTTTAAAATGATACATTCATCTTTTGACATTACAAGTTCTTGTTATGAAGACTCTATTTTTAACTTCTTATCCTCGAAACGTAACCTAAGACGATTTAATTCGATTTCCTTCTGCTCACTGGCTTCTATGGCCGACTCATAGGCTTTGTAAATGTTAGGGTGCAAAGTCACGCTTGGATGAGGCTTTACCCACTTGTATGTGTAATGAGTTGCCTTTCCTTTATAAGGAAGTGAGTGGCACTCATTTTATGTAAGGAACCATTTTGGAGTGTTAGACTAGAGAAAGAAACTTTGTATAAACCCATTTGTATATTCTTTCTAGATCTAATATGAGCTTAAAAAGATTTATTTATTCCTTGTATTCTTGATTTTACATGATGATTTACTAGATCTTTCTAATTCCGCACAAGCCATCATAATCAACACCACTACAATTGGTATCAAAGCGGGTGTTCTTGATTGGATCAAGAATTGATCCTTGATGGCTATCTTGATTTAGTGATTCATTTTTTTATCGTTGATCTTCGTGTGTTAGAGCGTTTTTGGATTCTAGAAATCGAATTCATCTTTGATTCTATTCAAAATTCGATTTTCTTCACTAGAATTCAAGTGATTTTTGCTTTCTCTCTCTAGAAAACCCATTCAAATCACTTTCTCTCTCTACAAATCTTCAAGTTTTGTGATCATGGTGCTTTTGGAGTACAAATCTTGGATTGTGATCGTTGAAGATATCAAATACAAAGTCAATAAAGATTAATATTATGGGTTGGTGTTAAACAATTTGATTAATTGGGGAACTATGGTTTCTTATGGAGGATTGGATGATGATCATGGAAGCTTGATATTTCAACCACT